AGGGCCAAATAACTTCATTGCTAGCTTCGGACATGGTCGATTCACTACTGACGATTGTGTGTATGGTTGCAGCCTGAGGTAGACCATCTCCCCTTCAGAGAATTGGTGATCAGATCGTTTCTTGTCTGCATATTGTTTGCACTTGCACTGAGCCCTGGCCAGGTGTTCCTTCAGTAATGCAGTGTGCTGTGTGTGTGTTGCTAGCCATTCCTGAACATCTGGGTTCAATGACTTTGTCTGACCCTGAAATTGTCCCACGTTAGCTTCATGCCCGTATAGTGCCTTGTATGGGGTACATCCCAATGAAGAATGGTACGTGGTGTTGTACCAGAACTCTGCTTGTGGTAACCAAGAGGCCCACTTGTGGGGAGAAGCATGTACTGCACATCATAAATACATCTCCAGACATTGGTTGACTCTTTCGGTTTGACCATCCGTCTGTGGGTGATATGCAGTGCTCATCTGTAGCTCAGTTCCCCACACTCTAAACATTTTTTTCCAGAAAGCACTTGTGAATATCTTGTCTCGATCAGACACAATGGACAATGGCAAGCCATGCAGTTTGACAATTGTATTGAGGAACACTTTTGCCACTGAAGCTGCTGTAAAAGGATGTTTCAGAGGTATAAAATGACTCACTTTTGTGAAACGATCCACCACCACTAGAATTGCATTGTATCCATCTGATGTAGGCAAACCCTCGATAAAGTCCATGCTGATTGCTTGCCAAGGACCATCTGGGATTGGTAGAGGCTGGAGAAGACCTGGCACCCTACACAACTCATGCTTAGCCTGCTGACAAATACTGCACTGCTTAACAAAGTTTTCCACATCCTTCTTTAAGCCCTGCCAACTGAACAATTGTTTGACTCTATGATAAGTGGGCAGCATCCCAGAGTGACCCCCAATAGGAGTTGAATGAAAAGCTTGAATCAGTTTGGTTTGAAGGCCAGCATTTGCTCCCACCCATATTATCTCTTCATGTTTGATCAGACCATCTTGGAGCTTGAATCCAGGGCACGCATCTGCATCTACTGCAATTTTCTGTAGCATGTTCTGGGCAGCAGGATCCACAGTATAAGAGTTCAATATCTCTTGTATACACAGAGGTTTGCTGGTGGAAACAGCTTGCATAGGAAACAAGTGTGCCACTCTGGATAATGCATTTGTAGCAGTATTTTCTATTCCCTTTTTATACTGAATGGAAAATTGTAATCCAACTAGCTTTGTCATTGCCTTCCTCTGCAAATCAGATGTCAGATTTTGATCACCTAGATGGCACAAACTCTGGTGGTCAGTTTTGATCACAAAGGGGGCTTTAGACAGATATGATCTCCATCTATCCACAGCCATCATTATGGCCATAAATTCTTTTTCATAAATGGAAATTTTCTGACTATTTGTGCCCAAGGCCTTGCTGTAGTATGCAATGGGATGTCCCTCCTGTGTGAGTACTGCACCTATCCCAGTGTTGCAAGCATCTGTTTCCACTATGAAAGATTTGTTAAAATCTGGCAAGGCCAACACAAGTGTAGTGGCCATAGCTTGTTTCAGAAGCTGAAAGGCAGCTTGTGCAGATTCGGTCCACTGGAATGCTTGTTTCTTCAACAGAACGGTGAGAGGTTTAGCCAGCAGACCATAGTTCTTGACAAACTTCCTATAGTAGCCAGTTAGTCCCAAGAATCCTCTCAATTCAGTGACATTAGAGGTGTAGGACAATCCACCATAGCAGTAGTTTTGGCAGGATCAGTGGTTACTCCTGTAGCAGTAATAATGTGGCCCAGATACTCCATGGACTTCTAAGCAAAAGCACATTTGCTTTCCTTAACAAACAGGTTGTTCTCCTTGAGTACTGCAAATACTTCTTGCAAATGTTGCAGATGTTCTTCTAATGTCCCACTGAACACCAATATGTCATCCATGAATATGAGTACAAATTTTCTGTTTGAACCTTTGAAAATGAAATTCATGAAACATTGCAAAGTAGCTGGAGCAGTACATAATCCAAAGGGCATCACCTTAAACTGGTATTGTCCATTATGTGTCTTGAATGTTGTTTTAAACTCATCTGCTTCTGCCATCCTTATTTGGTGGTAGCCTGATCTTAGATCCAACTTGGAGAACCATTGAGCACCTCCTAATTCATCCAACAGCTCATCAATCACAGGCATTGGAAATTTGCTTTTAATAGTGAGTGAGTTGAGCTTTCTATAGTCCACACAAAACCTCCATGTACCATCTTTTTTCTTGACCAACAATACAGGTGAAGCAAAAGGGCTCAAACTAGGTGAGATCAGACCAGATTGCAACATCTCTGAAACCTGCTTCTCTATCTCATCTTTCTGCAGGGGAGAGTACCTATATGGTCTGCAGTTGACAGGTACAGCATCTGGTACTAAGTGTATCTCATGGTCAAACTCCCTGTGGGGAGGTAGGGTTTTTGGATCCACAAATGCAGCTTTATTTTCTTGTAACAGTTTCTGTACTTCTTCTGGTACTTCAGTTGTTGGAGCAACACAAATGTGATGCAGAATAGCAGTTGTCCATATGTCATTGCCCTTGTCCCACTTCTGCAGTTGCTCCATGGACACTTCTTGGATTTGCTCTTGTTTAACAGGCAACACTCCTTGTAGCTTGATCTCTTTCCCTTGGTAGTTAAACTTAATCCATTTATCAGCCCAATGACATTGCATAACTCCCCATTTCTCCAGCCAGTCCATTCCCAAAATAATGTCATATCCTCCCAATTCCAACACATGCATTGGTGTGGAAAAATCATGACCCTAAATCCACCAATTCAAGTTGGATATAAACTCTGTACAGTCCACTTTATCTCCATTTGCCACTTTCACATGCAGAGGAGATGCTAATTTCTCTGCGGTTACTGGTACTCTGCTCAACAAGGCTTTATCTACAAATGTGTGAGTGCTCCCTGAGTCAATCAAAATCAGCACCACTTGATTACCCACAAGAGCTCGGAGTTGTATTGTTTTAGGGTGAGCAGCACCTGACAGAGCAGTAACTAAGATATGAGCACATTTAGGTTGATAGTCGTCGATCAGAGCATCCAGTATTGCATCTGAAATGATCTTGTGAGGATCTATCATTTTTGTTGTCTTTAACTGAGCTGCAGGTGCAGGTGCTTTGTTGCAGTTGTGCCCAGGTATGTATTTCTCCCCACAACTGTAACACAAACCATTAGCACGTCTGTACTCCTTGAGCTGCTTGGCCTTCCACAACTCACCCGGAGCGAAATTGTTTCTGCTGTCATTCCTAGTCGCTGTATTCTTAGTGAAACCAGACTTGAATGTCTTCTGTTGGTTTAAGAGCCCTTCCTGTACTGCAGCATACATAGAAGCCGTTTGCACATTGACAGGAAGCTGAAGTTCCACCACACTCCGCAGTTCCTCTTTCAGCCCCATGACAAATCTGGTCACCAAAAACGTGTCACTGATGGCTGGTTCGTATAGCCTGATATTGTACACCAGCTGTTGGAATTGTACTTTGTATTCCTCGACTGAACCCTGTTGCTTGAGCATCATCAGAGACTTCAGTCGCTCTTGGTGTATGTTCACATCGAATTCCTGTAACACAGCTGTCCGGAACTGTTCCCAAGTATGAAACGCGCTGTGCTGTTTGAATGCCTGATACCAGTGGGCTGCGTTGTCTGACAGATACAGAGAAGCGGATGTAACTTTGAAGTTGTCAGGTATGTGATACAGCTGAAAAAATGCTTCACACTTGTCCAACCAAATCCTCACATCTGTGCCATCGAATCGCGGAAAATCCATCTTAGGCATCCAAGCGTGTTTCCCTGTGGACTCATCCCCTCCCACAGCAACTCCATGGCCAGCAGGCGGCATCTGAATGGGAATTGGGGGAAAACGCGGTGGTGCGCGATACTGACCTGAAGGATTTGCACCCAGAATGCCGTCCGACACCTCCGAAGCAGTCGGTGACGAACTTCCACTCCCTTGCGCACAATTTTGCTTCCCCAACTGTGTCGCGTGCGCTTGCTCCTGCTGCACCTTCCCCAAAGTGTCATAGGACAAATTGACCTTCATTTGTACCTGATCTAGCCGATTTCCCTGCTCCGATAGCTTGGCATCCAGGGCTTCTAGCTTCTCGCAGATGCCATCTACCGCGGTTAGCTTCGCCTGCGCCGCTCGGATTTCAGCCAGTTCCTGCAGTATCCGCGTCTGGAACGCCTCCATCTCTTCCGCGAGGTAACGCGTCTGCGGATTGGGCTTGAATGTCGCTGTGGTGACGAATTTTCCCCAAATCAACCCACCTCGGGTCAGGATTTACGCAGATCGAACCCTCAGGTGATCCGCTACCGTCGCGTCGGAGTTTGTCGGGTACGAATTGGGGAAAAAAATTGTGGTAGCGCGAGCGGAAGCGGTGGCTCTGATACTCAGATTGTCACGTCTTGAGGACGGTGGGTTTTGCCGGTGGCCGGGGTAGTCGGAGGTGATGAGAGACGACGAGATCTGAGGCGAGGTAGGAAGGTAGGAGAAGGAACAGAGGGGATAAACAGAGAGAGCGAGAGGTTCAGAATGTTTTCATTTCTTCGATACCGCTACAGCGGATGGCCGTTGCTTATATATGCAACCGGCTCGTTACAACTCAACTCTGGCCCACGGCCCACCACGCCACTCCTGGCCCAAACTAGAGGTTTGAATCGCCCGCCAGCACTTTACGTCTCCTTCGGTGTTGCTTTACGCCTTCCCACCTGTGTGACGCCCATTGTCAGCACGCTAGTGCTGACACTCACATCCATCGTCTCCAAGCTGCAGTACTACCTGCTCCTCTTCGGTTCCATCGACAACACCCTACGAGCTCTCAAGTACAACTTCTACCTTATCTCGTCTGACCTCGAGAGGGTGGTCAAGCCCAACGTGGCTGCCCTGCGGGACTCGGGGCTGGGTGATTGCGACATTGTCAAGCTGTGCGTCCCTAATCCACGGCTGCTCACCACCAGTGTAGAATCCATCCGGGCAATGGTGTCATGTGCTGAAAGTATTGGTGTGCCCCGTGGATCTCGGATGTTCATGTATGCAGTACGTGCTGTTGCGTTCCAAAGTGAGGAGAAGATTGCCGCCAAAGTAGACTACTTGAAGACCACCTTAAGGTGGTCGGATGATGAGGTGGGCATTGCTTTGACCAAGTCCCCAGGGCTGCTGAGGCATTCTAATGAAAGGCTGCGCCGCACCTCAGAGTTCCTCATCTTCGAGGTGGGCTTGGAACCGGCATACATTGCCCATCGCCCGGCATTGCTCACCTATAGCCTGGAGGGCCGGCTCAGAGCCCGGTACTACCTTGTAAAGTTTCTTAAGGCAAATGGATTCCTAGAGCGTGACGTTAGCTACTTCAGTATAGTGCAGAAGAGCGAGAAGGTATTCATGGAGAAGTTCATATGCCCTCACAAGGAAGCTGCACCACACCTCGCTGATGACTATGTCAATGCTTGCAGAGGGCAAGTGCCCACTAGACTCAGATTTGCATGAGCAAAGAACGGGTATGGAAATTGTTAACTGGGCATTGCACACATAAAAATTCACTCTGCGTGTTAGGCTGTTAATTCCTAAGTCGGTGATCCTGGCCTAACTGAGTGATGGTTGTCTGCTATAGTATGCCTGTTAGATTTGCTGATCTTTAATTGTAATCCAGGATGAAACTGATCATTTGAGCTGTGAGTCCTTGTATGTTCATTACATCATTCAGTAGAGAAGAGCATCACACTGCTATCTTGTCCATCCTCATGTCATACCGACACACATATTGGAACTAAGAGCGTGTGAGATCACAGATCAGGGGGGCATTCTGCAAATGCTTTCTAGTATCAGTGAGTAGTGTATCTGCAAACTCTGTTTTTGTGTTTTCAAATGACCATTGCAGTTTCCAGTTCTATCCATGAAAGAAGGTTCTCTTTTTGACCATCAAGATGACACGAAGCCTCAATTTTTCCCTTTGGAGGAGAATTTTGGAATTCTTTCCGTGGAGAAAAATTTGGATTTGTTATGACCTCAATGTGTTGGTTACTGCTCTCTTCTAATCTGAAAATATGCAGTTTGGATCTAATTGGTTGCTGCTCTCTTCTAATCTGAAAATATCCATTCTTCCTCTAGTAGCTTTGTTTATAATTGTTGTGAAAGCTGGTTGTTTTTTCTAGTAGTTTGTTTAATTTTCTGTATTTTGGATGATCTATCAGCATAATCTTATAAAGCATAGGTCCTGTCAATGGAGTACCTTTTAGCTGAGTTTATTCCATATTAGCACTATCTATAGTTCTATTCAGAAGGTCAGGACATCTTTATCCCTTGGCATATTTTTTTAGGATAGTAAGGTGGGTCTTATGTACCATCCTCTGTTTTATGCTATTTGCTTTTTAGATGCTCTCTTATATTTGCTTCAGCTGTCTTGGCTACAATCTCTTCAGAAGAAATGTATGCTAGTACTTGAGAAAAGAGAATGAAGATGACAAGATGTCGTAGACTGTTACCTTAGCCAAGAGATGATCCCAGATATGTTGTCTTAACCAAGCTTGGTCTTAACATTTAAGGGAGTGCAGTATTTTCTTAGTTGTACTGCATGTCGGATCGCCTATTTAGTCAAATCTCAGCCTAGGCATGCAAGTACCAACTGTCACATATAGCGTAGTTTTAGAATCTTGAAGAATTTTAAACAGAGGAATAGTAGATATACTGTATACCTCAAACTAAAATATAAGAAGCAAGCTATGTAATGATGGTGCACATGTGTTCCTGATGTGAGGCTGTAGATGTTGGAAATGGAGGAAATGAGATCTCAGGTAGTCAGGCATGTCCTTGCAGTTGCAGTAACACAAAGGAGATGGTGGCGTACAGCTTTGGTTTAAAGATCACTTGTGTCCCTCTTCTCTGGTGCTTGTGGAACAAAGATTAATGTGATGCATGTGAAGTGATTTTCCAGTTGAGAAGAAGATGTGTGTGGTATGAAAAAAAAGGTACATTTTCATCAAGTAAAAAGTGGCCGGGCAATATGAGCCTACTGAACTGCTGTTGGTGCTGTCCTTCTTCCAGGAGAAGATGTGCTAGCTGCTGAAACTGGATAGAGAGGGTGCTTCCTTCTTCCAGGATATCGATGAAGCCTGGTGCTGGCAGCTATGAATCTGCCTCCATGTGACTCCGAAGACTCCAATGGAGAATCAGCTTCGGTTCAGGGCCAGGTTTGGGGCATATCACAGTGCAAGCAGAGGCAGATGTCAGTCGATGCTACTCTAGTTGATGATGCCCTGAAGCTTCCTTCGGTAACAGGTATGACTTGACGCCGTCGTGAGTTTTGTGTTCAGAAGCTCCTGTGTTTCTCTTTTTGTATTCCGCAGGCTGGGCAATACCTGCCTGCGTGACAGATTTCATCAGGTAGCCTAAACAGATAAAGTAGAGTAAAGTAGCCGTGTCTGGTGCTTTGATTGGTTTGTATACTGATGGGCTCTGGGTTTCCTCTTGCTTAAGACATGGTGGATCTTCCTTCACTAACTTGAATGTAGATAATTTGAACGAGTCATGCATGTCATGAGGTAAACGATCAATTAGATGTGGTATAAAAAAAATTCTAATCTGAACTCTGGATTTGAATCAGAGCTGAAAGTTGAATCTGTTTGTGTCTGACATGATGGGGAACTCTGCCCTTACACCCAAGTTGAGTGTGATGGTATCTATAGTAAGCATTTTACACCATTTATTGAGAAAATAGTCCAGTCCAGATAGATTGCAACATTTTATACTATTTACTGAGACATTGATCTAGGCCAACTGCAAGTATAGAAATGTTTGCATTGTGTTGTTTGTGTAGTTCATTAAACATCTATTTACCTGCTCTTTGGTTCATGCTTGCAGGATTTGACAATAGCCTATTACTATGCTGCCTCCAATAGCCCTCATCTCTTCCTCTTGACATCAAGAGTGATTTGCATCCATGTACCGTTTCCTGGACACTTTTTAAGGTCTGTGCATGTTAACCTTGATAACATACCACTCATGAAGAGACTACACTTTTTCAGATCTTCATTGCACGTTCGCTAATTTTTTGTTCATGGTTTTCCTTTTTTTTACACCCTCTTCCTAAATTATTCAACCATCTAGTTATGTTATCTGGGGTACGTCTCCGCATGTGTGCTTTCTGTGATGGCTTAGATACTTTAGAGATTATCTTGAAATTTGGATCTCTGACCTGGCTTTGTTGTATATATTCTGCTTTGCTACTCCAGATAGAATCCATATTAGTTACTCCCTCCGTCCCATAATGTTAGACGTTTTTTGACACTACACTAGTGTCAAAAAACGTCTTACATTATGGGACAGAGGGAGTAGTTAATTTTGCTTCAAAGCAGATAGAATTCATAGTAGTTAGTTAATTTTGCCTGAAAACTCCTGAGTGATGGACATGCTGGTCCAATGGCAACACCAGCCAACCATGTACAACTTTTTGAAGTCAAAGCAAAATGATGGTTGTGTACGGATGATGTTTTACATTGGAACTAGATGATGTGCGTGCCCTCTGCTAATTAAAGTAACTTCTATTGTGCTCCATGATTAGACAATTGCCTTATTGGCACTTAAAAATATCATTGGACAAATTACTGATCTGGATGAGCTGCTCCTCTTGTTTTACTCTGTTCTAATATCGTAGCTGTGAAAATCTCTCTACCAGTCTGTTCTCGTTAAAGAAGAAGCACTGTTAAATGAATCAGGGCATAAACACTTGATACATTGTGTTTCCAGGTATCCGAACTTACTGCAGATCATGTGAGCTGCTTTATATGTTTATATTCACCTGAACCCTAGAGCAAAAGTTGGGAGTTCAGTACAGATCGATTCTGAGCCGACATGTTTTTAGATAGGCCTGAAGCTTATGAGAAAGTTAGTTGATCAGCAGCATGGTAAGTCGTTGGAGAGTCCAGTGAGGAAGCAGAGTGTTTTGTGCTAGCATGCTTGCACTCCTGGAAGGAGTGTTGACAGCTTATGCATATACATACAGGGGAGGGAGGAATTTCCTGGACATCAGCAATAGAGAGGCATGTACAAATTTGGCCCATGAAAAAAACATTGACATGCTCCACATTTAACGGAAGAGTAGAGAGAGGGAACTGTGTGTTTGGTTATAGTAGTAGTAGTGTGGAGTTTCTGAAGCAAAGATTTTATCATGCGCCTAAGATTCAGTCTGCTTAGCCATAGACAGTGGCATTTATTGCCAGAGAGATGACAGAGTAAGCATTTGTGTTTCTGTTACTTGTAAAGTTGTGATCATCCTGGGAGTTTGCAAGATATATTCAACACCTGTGGTCGTTCTGGGAGCTTTTTTTGCTTGCAAATACGATTTCCATATGTGGTAGAGGAGGTACAAGATATATTCAACATTTTTCTGACAGCAATTCCTGTTTTCTGGAGGGGGAAAAAACACGGCCTAGTGATTGATTCCTGTTTTATGAAAAACTACTATGTCAATTTCCTCGTTACCGGTTTTGTTCTCTTTTGTTGTTCCCGTGTTCCGACATCCCTGTGATCAAATTACACTTTGTACTGGATGATGGATACCATAACACCAAGAGGGCCCCAAGAATATCTCTCCACTGTCGGAGGAGCAAATCTCAATCTTGAGCTATCTAGACGCTTATCATACTTCTCCATGAACCCATAAGCCATCATAATAGCCACCATGTTAATAGCCACCATGTTATAGATGACGTTTAACAAAACTCAAAGTTCAAGAAGCAAGTATGAAGGAGCTCGATACTCTCATGGTCTAAGAAATTATGCAAACCTTTAATTTTACCTGTGTTATAAACCGTTAACTTGTGAAAAAAAGAACTCATAGCATAACAACAATTGGGTCGGTTCAACACAAGTGTTCTTCTAACATTGTGTTCTTAAAGTTGTCACCATACTCATACCCATGATTAGGAAAACAAAACCACCATGCAACACTTGAGCTAGTCTTAGAGACTAGACTGAGAATCTATTTTACCGTTTATTATTACATACGTGCATATGAGTTTTCATCTGAGCCTCATGGTTATTGCAGACTCGAGAACCATAGCTGATATAGCACAAAATATAAACATAATTATGAGCATAGAAATAAATAATAACATTTATTATTATCTATATGGCATATTTTCTACACGCGGATCCTCGCGGTGAGCTTATCTTTTCGAGCTGGATGTCAGACAAGCTCGAAGACTATGTCGACGTACCTATCCAAACCCTAGAGTCGGTCCCTACGCTGGATAACGACGAAGTCCTTGCCTTAGTTACAACTTCAAGCCAGGATCCGAGCACTCCCCTTGATGACCAGAAGTCCAGCTTGGCTATCGACAGAGAACTCGGGTCGATGTCAGATCGGACCCCGGGGAAGTTTCCATTGGCCCCGCCGCTCGATCAGACCATGGACGACTGCGAGAAATCCTTTTGAACGAGATGTTAGATCGAATTCAGAAGCTCGCGATCTCGGACGATCAAACCTCGGTTTACGATCAGACCTTGGAGCAGTCAGGGGAGTTTGGAATTTTTTACTCATCCACCTTGTTGTCAATGTCGAGGACTTAACCGACGTGCTCGCAAGCGCCTTTAAGGAGGCAAGCAACATGGACAACGAGGTCGAAGAGTCTTTTGACACCACACCACAGTCGCCAAAGCTACAGAGTGGTGGACCGCAACATCCATGTACGTTGTCTACATGATAAACACCCCCAAGAACGACACAGTCATGGCGGCAGCGGTCCTCATAACGACGACGACAACAACAAGGCAGGCCACAACATCAATGATGGGGATGATTACAACCCTGAGGACGACGCAGATAGAAGCCTTGGCCCTGCATGACGATGAGAATGCCCTAGATGAGTCCCTAGGCAATGCCAACTATGATGCACCAGGTCTAAGACTGGTCAGCACCGCCAAGAGAATTAAAAACTTCCTGGGTTCGTAACCTCTTTATCCCCCTGACTTCTATCACTCTCCCTATAATTATCAGTTTCAACAACACCGAAGGCTAAGCTAGCTTCTGATTTGTTTCCCAATACATTGTGTGGCTGATCACTTGTTTGGGTTAGCTGGAACTGTTTTATTTCTCTCTGGCTCCTTCTATCCACTTGATTCTGGTATAGATCCCCTCTAAGTTGGTCCCCTTTACACTGGAACATTGTGGTTCTTCGCCCTGGACACAAGATTGTGCCGCTGGCCCTTGAGGTCCTCCACGTCCAAGAGAGAGGCACAACGGCAGTACCTCCCCTCCATCGTATCACTCACTACTCCTAGCGAGCCGTTCTCCGTCGCCGCGGACCGTTGCATGACCGCCGCACGCTTGCGGGTGGTTTGAAGGCTGGTGTTGGAGATGCCCTAATGCTCAAACGTTAACTCAATAAAAAAAATTGTAAAGTTTGATAAAAAAACAAATCTCCTCCAGTGAGCTAGATGTCTCCAACTTCTCTTCTTGGATATTGAGCTAAATAAACAGTTTTTTTATGTACTCCCTCCGTTCCTAAATATTTGTCTTTCTAGATATTTCAACAAGTGACTACATACGAAGTAAAATGAGTGAATTTACACTCTAAAATATGTCTATATACATCCGTATCTGATAGTCCATTTGAAATCTCTAGAAAGACTTATATTTAGGAACGGAGGGAGTAAATGATTTTAAGGTTACTCAAAATCTGTCGATCCAAACAAAATCTGTTGCATCTAAGGTAGTATAATATGAGGTGGCATGAGAGAGACTGATGGGTGGGAGCCCACGCCCACCTGGGTCTCTGGCTTAGGCGGCAGACAGAGAACCACGCCCTTCACTCCACCACCGGCCGGCCATCGCGATTTCCCCATTCCCTCGCCGCCGCCGCCGCCGCCGCCACCCAAGCTGCATCAATCTCCTTCTCCGACGGCGGCGCCGCCATGCTCCGGCTCCGGTGCTGCGGCCTCACCCAGCTCCTGTCGTTTCGCTCCGCCTCCACCATCTCCCAGCTCAGCCGCCGCATCTCCGCGGCCGCCGTCTCCCCGGCCCCTGGCTTCGTCGTGGAGGACTACCTCGTCGCCACCTGCGACCTCACCCGAGCCCAGGCCCTCAAGGCCTCCGCCAAGCTCTCCCACCTCAAATCCCCCACCAATCCCGACGCCGTGCTCGCCTTCCTCGCCGGCCTCGGCCTATCCGGCGCCGACATCGCCTCCATCGTCGCCAAGGACCCGCAGTTGCTCTGCGACAAAAGTGGAGAGAACCCTGGCCTTCTTAGATCGCGCGCCTCGTCTCGCTCTCCCACAACAAATTCCGGTGCAGATCCATCGTCTCCAATCTAGAATACTACCTGCACTTCTTCGGCTCCTTTGAGAACTTCCCCCGGCCTCTTAAGCGCGACCACGGCTCATGCCTTCTCTCGGCCGACCTCGAGAGGGTGGTCAAGCCCAATGTCTCGTTCCTGCGTGAGTGCGGGCTAGGTGATTGCGATATTGCCAAGTTGAGCATCTCTCAGCCATGGATGCTCGCAGCCAACCCAGAGCGCCTCCAGGCAATGGTGTCATGCGCAGAAGGCATAGGTGTGTCCCGTGGCTCTGGAATGTTCAGGCAAGCATTGCAGGCTGTCGCATTCCTCAGTGTGGAGAAGATCACCGACAGAGTAGACTACTTGAAGAGCATGTTCAGGTGGTCGGATGCTGAGGTGGGCATTGATGTTTCTAGGGCTCCAAGGGTGCTTGTGATGTCCAAGGACTTTCTGCGCAGCAAGTCAGAGTTTCTCATCTCCGAGGTGGGATTGGAGCCGGCCTACATTGCTCAAAGGCCGGCAATTCTCACTCTTAGCCTAGATGGCCGTCTTAGGCCCCGACACTACATTATGAAGTTTCTCAAGGATAATGGATTACTGGAGAATGATCGGAGCTACTATGTCGCAGTCGTAGTGAGCGATAACGATTTCATGAAGAAGTACATATGCCCTTACCAGGAAGCTGTGCCGCACCTCGCTCAAGACTATGCTGCTGCTTGCAAAGGGGAAGTGCCGACTATTTTCAGATTCACATGAGCCAGGAATAGGCTATGATGTAACTGTGTGCTGGTTATCTGCCGTCGTATGTCTGTTAGATGCCGGGTTGGTCGTTGCTAAAGTGTGATGAAACGGATAATTTGATTCCTGAATACTGTGCAATGCCATCATCCAACAGAGAAGAAACCATGGATTGCTTATTAAATTTGTTGTCCTCGTTCATGTTTTTAAACACATGTATTGATTGCTGGCACATTCTTCATTGTATTAAAATTTCAGTTTTCAAGTTAGTTGCTGGTGTATTGAGAGATGCAATAAGCCAAGGTAAGGTCTCCTTCATTGTGGGTAATGCATTCCTAATGTTTTATTTTTATTTTTGGAAATCATAGTTGATAATTTGAGGATCACTATGACACCCTTCCCAAATTTAGGTAAATAGTCTTTTTGGAATGGTCAATTCGCCTGGCTTTGGCTTAATCTATTTTTCAGTTATGGTTTGATATAAAAGTCATTTTGGTTTGCTCATATGTAGATTCATAGAGATTCGTTTTTTGCTTTAACTAACGAACTAAAGATAGATTTGTTCATTCAACTATAGTAAGTGTCTGCAAGTGAGTTTGCCTTTAGTTGGATCAGAGGTAATGATTTGAAGCCATCGGTCAGATTGGAAACACCTACTGGGCTGCAGGAGAAATGTACAGGGCTCACATCTGGTTATCTGCTAAAGAGAGATGCACACTTAACTAAACATCAAACTCTCACATGGAGGAGGCTTGGCACCATTTAAGTTTAAGTAAGTAAACTTAGGTGGATATGTTCCTTTTTATGTTGGTAATGTTATTGAGACAATGGAGACGCACTTACTGCCAGTGATGTTATTGTCATTGAGACAAAGAAGCACTGATTTTGTACTGTGTATATTGTGGATTTTCATGCTCTGCACCACAGCCATAAAAACCATGCGTTTATTGTGGATGGCAGCTCAAGTTTTTTAGTTCATTATTGTGTTTTGCTCCTGCGGGTTATTCAGCTAGTTGGCGTCTCTTTCTATAACCGAGCTACCTCTTCTTTAATTTGGCTAAAACTGAGTGCTTAATTTATTATTTTGGTCAGTATGATTGTGAATATAGGCACCGAACTGTTGGTATCATGTACTTCCATACTCTAAATACATGGCCTGAATATCTGCAGAGGCCGCAGGTTCTTAGGTGGTGTTTGGTTCACTGGCTATCCCTCTAGTTTTCTTGTTTGTTTGAAATGCTGCACATAATCTGCTAGGCTATTCGAGCAGATTACTTCCAACAGGCCGCAAAATCTATACTTGAATTAGTTTCCGCCATCTTGGGTGTTCATCTAGAGAAAGATATCATCGAAGTTCAGTTACGAATACTGTCCTTATGATTTCCGCGAGGGAAAATCAAGGATTTGAACTATGCTTGGTCTTAAAACATAAAGAACTCCAGTACATTCTTTAACCTCCAAAGTAACTGCCAAAGCATGCTAGAATTAGTTTAACTTCTAATTGTCAAGAAGATAGGTTGTAGTTTTCATTCTCTGTTTTGACCTAACGACTTTGTTTCCCTTATGAGGTAAAAAGAAAATTAATGAACCTGCAAATATCGGCAAAGTTTTACATAAGATCATTTAACGGGATGCACCTTATCAGGATGCAGATCTAGATCACAAGTAAGCAGTGATGCGCGAGACGGCTCTATCTCTTTTCACAAGTACAGATGGCCATCAAAGATTAGCAAAGCTATACCAAAAATAGGCCACTCTTTCACTGCGAGGATCTTCTTTTAGTCTGTAGCCACCCCTTGCCCACTAATGACATGACCCAGGTATTCTATCTGTGGTTGAGCAAATGAACATTTATTCAACCAAAAATGAAACTCTTGCATGAAAGACCGGATTTGACGCAAGATGAATGGCGTTGGGGTTTTTCAAATGAAACCCGCGATCAGAAAGTCTCCAAAGTAAGCATTTCAAGCTGGCTGTACATAAACCTTTCATACATCATCTTATCTGCAAATTAAGTGTTTGCTATGTAATTTTACCATGTTGTTAATGCTCTACTTATTTTACTTGTCAACGCATGGTTATGGAAAGGCTCTGGGGGTGGGGGTGGGGGTAAGAATTGCTTTTGTTGGAGACGGGCCTTAAAGGTGCGTCATTGTTCAAATGCCAACTGTTTGTTGTTTTCAGTAAGACACAAACCTGTTGAAATTTTTCCAATGATTATTCTTCCTAGCTTCCATTAAGTGTTTGTTGACAATGATAAAAGGATTTTTTTGGCAGTCCATGCAATGAATCTATGTGATGCATCATATACTTGAGTGTTTATATGTTTCATCATGTTTGTCTGACCTATGACGATATTGAAGCCCAACTAGGCACTGATCTTGACTTGCTCTGCCAAGTGTAAACAGTAATATATACTGTTCCGCTTATAAGTATAAACACTGCTCCTCGCATTCCTCGACAGTCATGGGCTTGCGCATGAATCCTTAAACCGATGCACAAACACACAAAAACACAAACATGCATAAAAACACACAAGGAAAACAAAGGATCGTTAATATAGGAAGACTAAGATGAAGAGGTGGGTTTATGTTGTGGCTGTTGGCTCACTCTTTGAGCGGGCCATATATAGGTCGTGAACAAGGAGCCGAGATCTTTGTCACATCTTAGGGCCGGCATGTTCCGGACAACAAGGTACCTGCGACTGAATTAGGGTTCGGGGGGATAAATGATTGAACCAGCAGCTATGAATCGGAGGAGAGGCTAGGTTAGTATTGTTGGGGGAGAGTTGACACTCACTGCGACGTTGGCCAGCCAAGGTGCAACCATACCGCCGTATCAACCATACTGATAGATGATGCTTTCGATGCGAAGACAACACATCAAAATTGGCCGGCCGTAGTAACGGCATCAGATGGCCACCAGTGTGTCACCTGAAAAAAAATGCGGAAGCAGACTTTCGCTCGTTAAATATTTTACTATTTTTTGTGGTTTTATATACTACTCAAGAAAAATATTTTGATAAGTGTATTTTGCTCGTTAAAGATTCTTTACTTTGGGAATTGCGTGAAAGTGTATTGGAGTAGGAGTTTCCATTTTTGTTGGCAGCATGAGATGACGACTGACGAGCGGGGCCACTTTGGGTTGGGTTGAACCAGGGACACCATCGCATCGCGCACTTCATCTTTTCACTCCCATCGCTCTTTCCCCTTACTATGCTCTGGCTCCGGTGCTGCGGCCTCACCCAGCTCCTGTCGTTTCGCTCCGCCTCCACCATCTCCCAGCTCAGCCGCCTCATCTCCGCCGCCGTCTCCCCGAACCCTAGCTTTGCCGTGGAGGACTACCTTGTCTCCACCTGCGGCCTCACCCGAGCGCAGGCCCTCAAGGCCTCCGCTAAGCTCTCCCACCTCAAGTCCCCTTCCAAGCCTGACGCCGTCCTCGCCTTCCTCGCCGGCCTCGGCCTCTCCGCCGCCGATGTCGCCGCCCTCGTCGCCAGGGACCCGCTGTTCCTCTGTGCCAAAGTGGAGAAAACCCTGGCACCCAATGTCGCGGAGCTCACCGGCCTCGGTCTCTCACTTTCTCAGATCGCGCGCCTCGTCTCGCTCCCCAGTGTCACTTTCCGCTACAGATCCATCGTCTCCACGCTGGAGTACTTCTTGCCCCTCTTCAGGTCCTCCGAGAACCTCCTTCGAGCCCTACCTCGAGCGGGTGGCTCCATTCTCGGGTCCAACCTCGAGCGGGTGGTCAAGCCCAATGTCGCCTTCCTGCGCGAGTGCGGGCTAGGTGCTTGTGATATTGCCAGGCTCTGCATTCCCACGCCATCGCTGCTCAGCATCAGCACAGAACGCATCCGGACAGCAGTGGCGTGCGTCGAAGGTCTTGGTGTACCCCGTGGATCTCGGATGTTCAAGCATGCGCTACAAGTTGTTGCATTCCTCAGCGAGGAGAAAATCACCACCAAAGTGGAGCACTTGAAGAAAACATTCAAGTGGTCGGATGCCGAGGTGGGCATTGCTGTTTCTAAGGCTCCAAAGCTGCTGACGATGTCCATCGAATCGCTGCAGCGCAGGTCCGAGTTCCTCATCTCCGAGGTGGGGTTGGAAATGACATACATTGTTTATCGTCCAGCAATGCTCATGTACAGCTTGGAGGGCAGGCTCAGACCCCGATACTACGTTGTAAAGTTTCTCAAGGAAAATGGATTGCTAAGTCGCAATCGGGATTATTATTCTGCAGTCAAGATAACTGAGAAGGAATTTGTGGAGAAGTTCATATGCCCTCACAAGGATGCTGCACCGCACCTCGCTGATGACTATGGAGCAGCTTGCAGAGGAGAGGTTCCAGCTAGATTCAGTTTCACATGAACCAATACTAATAAGAAAATTGGTATGTTCATTATGTCATTCAGTAGAGAAGAAAGCATTGCACTGCTATGAACTCGTCCTTCCTCGTGTTGCCATATTGCACACATCTTGGAACTAGGAGAGTATGAGATCAGGGCATTCTGCCAATTTCTTTGAAGTATCAATGAGTAGTATTTCTGCACACTCTGTATCTTTGTGTTCTAAAATGGCCATTGCAGTTTTCAATGCAATCCTCCATCTGCCTTTCATGAAAGAATGTTCTTATTTTGGCCATGAAGATGACATGAAGTCTCGAAATTCCTTGGAGTAGTGTTTCTGTTTCTGACTAGTAGTTTGTATCAGCTTTCGTTTATTTATCTCTTGTAGTTTTGGATGGCCTTCTAAGTGATACTTTTCTACGGGAATCTGATCTCGAAACTGAATAGTTGAGTAGTAGGCTAGTTGCATTTTTGTTGGAAGCCTACTTGTATATCACTATGTAAACAGAAATTTCTAATGCCCTAGTATTTGTACTGGAGAAGCAAATTGATGCTTGTATTGCATAGTGCTGAAAAACAGAGGACATACTTAAGTTATGGTAACCTTAAAAAGGGTTATGGCATTACCATGTAAATTTCTGCTATCTCTTTTAGCTAATTTTATTATTCCATAATCGCACTATCTATATTGACCGCGAGGGCACATTTATCCCTTAGCATATTTGTTTAGTGTAGTATAGTGGGTCTTGTGTACCGTCTTTTTTGCAAATTTCTATCTGGAAAGTCAGAGTAGGAAAAAGGAAAAGGACGGATGGGACCATGTAGTCTGGAATCTTGCAGAATTTCAAATATAGGAATTACTATGTACCTCAGTCTACGAACCAACCTGTGAGGATGGTGCACATTTGTTTGTCCCTGATGTGAGGCTGTGGAAGTTGGAAGAAATGTGATCTCTGGTGTGTGCGTGCAGTAAGGCAAAGGAGTGGCCCATGCTATACTGGCCAAGAGATGTGATTTGAAGATCAGCTAGCTGTGTGTCCCTTCTGTGGTGCTTGTTGAAATTATAGAAACAAGATGAATGAAATGCAGGCGAGGGGAACAGGTTGATCAATGAAGCAACTTACCACCAGGTGAGAAGACGTGGAGGTTTCCTCAAGCAAAGAGTGGCTGCGCAACAGGAGCATACTGATTTACTGAATGTGGATGGTGCTTTCTTTCTTCCAGGTGAAATGTGCTGAAAGTGGATATTGATGGTGTTTTTTTCTTCTTCCAGGAAATGCGACAAAACATGGCGGCTATAGCTTTGCTCTATTATACTATTCTGTAGGCCCTGCTGGGTGATGATGCCTTGAAGCTTCAGTGACAAGTATGGCCTGACGGTGGCACGAGTTCTGTTAAGGGAAGCTCCTATTTTTCTCTTTTTTGAATTTTGCAAGTTAAGTAATCCTTTTAGTATTGTACTATTGATGTGAATAAACAAGCATATGGTAGTTTAATCATTTTTTGCATCTTGTTGGATCTTCACTTGGGTGTGAACAGTTTGTATGAATTCTAAACTCTGAATTTGAATCAGAGCTGAGCATTAACTCTGAATCTTTCAGACTCCATGTGCGAACTCTGAATCATATTATAACCTATTCAAGCGTGAAGCTATAGTAAGCACTTAGAAATCTTTCAGGAGCCTAGGTTTAACTCGAACCAGAGCAGAAAGTTAACAGCAATCTTACAACAAAGTTTGTAAACTGTGCGCCCCGCACAGAACAACATATTCTATATTTGGTTGCCAGAAGCTAAAAGGGTAAACTTCTATGTATGATCCACTTCAACCTTTTCCATCATTACAGCAGCATCTGTATGACAAAGAGTTCTTATGTTTTCAGAATATTGGGACTGGGCTTTACTAATTATGATGAGAAATCACTTTCTTATCCTAAATACATCAGTGATTAGAGGATTTTGATTCTCCTGCCGTTTTCATAAATGTCCAATTTAGTCTATTAAAATAGTCATATTTTCATAAAAGTTCACCAAAAGTGAAATGTCATTTTTATTAGTTTCACTGTCAGCGGATAGAACTGTTTTACCTTGAAGTGTAAAGCGTACGTTTAGTATCTAAAAAATGTATTGAAGGCATGTGATGAAATCCAAGTGCAAAGGCTAGCTGATTTGGATCATTCTTATTTTGTGGAATCTATTTGTCCAACATTTATGCATATTTATTTAGAGTAGATAAATAAACTTCACTACTGAACTTACTGCATGAAGGAAATGTGCTGACAGTTACAGCTCCTGAATTAATCCTGAAAAACTCACGCAAGAGGCCATGATGATGAGTAATTGATGCGACGAGGACCAGGAGAAGGAGAAGAGCGGCAACCAACTCGGTAAGGTTATTTACCAACTGGATTTTTACACAAAGAGGAGAGCCTTATAATCAGAGACTTATTCAGGGGATTGGACATGACTATGAATCGACGAGTCTAAATAAACACGGGCTGGGTTTGAACATGGACAGGTATGGTGCCACGTACGGGGATTCAATTCAACTCAATAATCGGAGAGAAGAGCAGCACAAGATAGTCTAAACTACAGCCACATCAAGCGCTCCTAGGTAGGTCCTGAGATGCAGCAGGGAATGTACCTAGCTACAGATCGTCGAAACAACACGGCCAATAAGTGCCGGAGATTGCTTAAAAGGCAGGGAGGTAAGACATGACCACTGGAGGTGTTTGTCTTTTATGGGTGAAACAAGAACATATCGACTGGTTTACCAAATGTTGTAGGAGAAGATGCGCTGAGACGGGATGTAGAAGATTCATGGTGCTTTCTTCTTGATCCAGGAGATCGCGAAGCATGGCAGATGGGGCTTTGCTATGCCCGCTGCCCTGAAGCGGCTTAAGCGACAAGTATGACCTGATGTGACTGAAGCATAATTTTGTTCAGAGAAGAACTCCTTCTTGTATATTGTGCCGCATTGCCCCATACCGGAGTCACCTTAGCTGAGTGAGGCGGCCTGAACAAACAACAAGTTGAGCAAACAATCAATTCGACGTGGTATGAATTTTCTACTCTGATTCTGAATATAAACCAGAGCCGAAAGGTTAGCTCTTAGACTCTGAAATTTTCAGACTTGATGGTTGAGATCTGAAACTTATTACACCCAAGGCAATTGTGATTGATGCTATATAGGAGTACTATCTTAGAGTTCTCAAGATGTCGTGTCGTTGCCACGCTATGCAAAAGCTCTCCTACTCCCACAACCTCTCTCTGTCCGTCACCGCCGCCGATCTGGCCGTTGTCCTAGGCTATCACTCTCTTCCTTTTCCGTGTGTTGGTGCACCATGACCTTTGACCCCTCTCAACCTATATATATCCGTCAGTGGCACCGCTATGGCAACATTGCTAGCAAGCTCTGCCACGCAATGCAACACTAACCTCTCTCTCAATCACCATCTCCTTCAACGAAGTTGTTTCCGCCGTCGTGAGCTCCACCTAAGATGATGCCATTTTTCATCCGAATCTCCCCCCTCTGCATTGTTGGCAAGCTACGGGACGCCTTACCGCAGGGGAGGGGAAAGAAACAAGACGGACGGATGGAGTTAAAGCGATGCGTTCTAGGATTCATGGATATGTTGAATGTTAGTTTATTGTAGCGTATTATTGAGGATATCTTGCAATCACCTAAAAGACAGTCAACTATTCGTTTGAAGGTGTGACACATTTTGTTGAACTCAAATGAGAATTACATCGGGAACCAGGTCACATAATTTAGGGATACATAGTTTTTTTTTTGAGGGAATTTAGGGATACATAGTTGGAATCATAAGAATTTGTAACTAAAGTGTGTGCCTCCCTTGCTGCAATGCAAAAGGGATCGCTCACATTATAGATAGAAATGGCAGCATGAGACTGACGGTCGGGACCCACTTGGGGTGGCTGGGTGGACTGGAGACAGGAATCATCGTCCACTCGTTGTTCCCCGCCACCAACCAGAAGCAGAAGCAGAAGCAGAGCAGCCATCCGCTTTCCCCGCCGCCGCCGCCGCTGCCCCCGCCAATCTCCTTCTCCGCGGGCGGCGCCGCCATGCTCCGGCTCAGGTGCTGCCTCCTCACCCAGATCCTCTCGTCTCCCTCCGCCTCCCCCATCTCCCACCTGAGCCGCCTCATCTCCGCCGCCGCGCCCGCCGTCTCCCAGAACCCTAACTTCGCCGTGGAGGACTACCTCGTCGTCACATGCGGCCTCACCCCAGCGCAGGCCCGCAAGGCCTCCCCCAGGATCTCCCACCTCAAATCCCCCACCAATCCCGACGCCGTCCTCGCCTTCCTCGCCGGCCTCGGCCTCTCCGCCGCCGACATCGCCGCCCTCGTCGCCAAGGACCCGCTGTTCCTCTGTGCCAAAGTGGAGAAAACCCTATCCCCCGTCGTCGCTGGGCTCACCGGCCTCGGCCTCTCGCGGTCTCAAATCGCGCGCCTCGTCTCTCTCCCCGGTGTCACTTTCCGCTGTAAATCCATCATCGCCGGGCTGCACTACTGCTTGCCCCTCTTCGGCTCCTCCGACAACCTCCTCCGAGCCCTCAAGGGTGGCTCCGTTCTCGGGTCCGACCTCGAGCGGGTGGTCAAGCCCAATGTCACCTTCCTGCGCGAGTGCGGGCTAGGTGCTTGTGATATTGCCAGGCTCTGCATACCTACGCCATCGCTGCTCAGCATCAGCCCGGAACGCATCCGGACAGCAGTGGCGTGCGTCGAAGGTCTTCTTGGTGTACCCCGTGGATCTCCGATGTTCAAGCATGCGTTACAAGCTGTTGCATTCCTCAGCGAGGAGAAAATCACCACCAAAGTGGAGCACTTGAAGAAAACCTTCAAGTGGTCGGATGCTGAGGTGGGCATTGCTGTTTCTAAGGCTCCAACAGTGCTACATAGGACTAAGGAATCGCTGCAGCGCAGGTCTGAGTTCCTCATCTCCGAGGTGGGGTTGGAACCGGCATATATTGCTTGTCGTCCGGTAATACTCATGTACAGCTTGGAGGGCCGGCTCAGACCCCGATACTACGTCATCAGATTTCTCAAGGAAAATGGATTGCTAGATCACGACCGGGACTACTATGCTGCAGTCATGATCAGCGAGAAGGTATTCGTCGAGAAGTTCATATGCCCTCATAAGGATGCTGCACCGCATCTCGCTGAAGATTATGCAACAGCTTGCAGAGCGGAGGTTCCAGCTAGATTCAGTTTTACATGAACCAAGACTAATAAGAAAATTGGTATGTTCATTATGTCATTCGGTAGAGAAGAAAGCTTTGCACTGCTATGAACTTATCCTTCCTCATGTTGTCATATTGCACACATCTTGGAACTAGGAGAGTATGAGATCAGGGCATTCTGCAAATGCTTTGAAGTATCAATGAGTAGTATTTCTGCACATTCTCTGTTTGTATGTTCTGAAATGGCCATTTCAGTTTTGAATGCAACCCTCTATCTATCTTTCCATGAAAGAATGTTCTCATTTTGGCCATGAAGATGATATGAAGTCTCAACCTTTCCTTTGCATGAAATTTTTGGACCCCTTTTTCTGTGGGAAACAATTTTGAGTCTGTTGGTGGCTAGTTGGCTACAGTTTGCTGATCACTGCCAATGATGCAGTTTTGATCTAGTTTGTTGGTTACTTGCTCTAGTTCATCTAAGCTAAATACCTTCTTCCTTCGTGCAGTAATTTTGTTTATGAGATATTAACTATTGTTGAAGACGGCCATTATTTACTAGTAGTTTGTATCAGTTTATTTATTTATTTGTCTCGTGTATGGCCAATTCTTTTCTTGGGCCATCTGATCTCCAAACTGGCTAGTTGAGTAGTAGGATAGTAGCATTTCTGTTGATTGCCAATTTGTATACACTACGTAACAGATATTTCATGTGCCCTGGTATTCGTACCAGAGAAGCAAACCGATGCTTGTATGGTATGGTGCCGAAAAGCAGAGGGCAAAGGAGATGGTCGATGCTAATACCTGCGAAGAGATGTGATTTAAAGATCAACTGTGTGTCCCTTCTCTGGTACTTGTTGAAATTGTAGACAAGATTAATGAAATCTAGGCGAGGGGAACGGGTCGAATGATGAAGTGACTTACCACCAGGTGAGAAGATGTTGAAAAGGGCTGGGCAATAGAAGCATGCTGATTTACTGAATGTGGATGGTGCTTTCTTTCTTCCAGGTGAAGATGTGCTGAAACCGGATGTAGATGGTGCTTTTTTTCTTCTTCCAGGAAACGAGACGAAACATGGCGGCAATGGCTTGGCTGTACTATACATTATTCTGAAGGTTCTGTTAGTTTTTGACACCCTGAAGCTTCAGCAACAAGTATGGCCTGACAATGCATGAGTTTTATTCAGGAAGCTCCTACTTTTCTCTTTTTTGCATCTTGCAAGTTAAGTAATCCTTCTAGTATTGTACTATAGCTTTGAATAAACTAGCAGCATCTGGTGCTTTAATCAATTTTCTACATTTTGGTGCATCTTCACTTGGATGTAAACAATCTGAACGAGTCACGCATGCATGTAAAAAGTAGGCGGTATGTAAATTTTGTACTCTGAAGTCTGAACCCTGAATTCGAACCAGAGCTGAACGTTAGCCATGAATCTTTCAAACTTCATGTGTGAACTCTGAAACTTATTATACCCAATTCAAGTGTGAAGCTATAGTAAGCATTTAGAAATCTTTCAGGAGCCAGGTTAACTCGAATCTGAGCAGTAAGTTACCAGCAGCTAATAGGCTAAACTTTTATTTACAATTTCACTCCAGTCTCTTCAGAGCCACAACTATTATACTCAGATGAAGAGTATTAACATTTTCCATTATCATAGCAGCATATGTATGACGAGAGGTCTTATGTTTTCAAAACGTTGGGACTGGGCTTAACTAATTATGATGAAAAATCACTTTCTTTTCTTAAATACATCAGTGATTAGAGGATTTTGATTCTCCTGTCGTTTTCATAAATGTCCAATTTAGCCTATTAAAATAGGCATATTTTCATATAGGTTCACCAAAAGGGAAGTGTCATTTTTACATTGTCAGCAGATAAAACTGTTTTACATTGAATTCTAAAGCGTGCATTTAGTATCTAATGTATTGAAGGCACGGTGATGAAATCCAAGTGCAAATGCTAGTTGATTAGCATCATTCTTATTTCTGCAATTTATTTCTCCAACATTTATGCATATCCATTTCGAGTAGATAAATAAACTTCACTAGTGAACTTACCGCCTGAAGGCAATGTGCTGAAAATTGATAATGAAATACAGCTCCTGAATTAATCCCGAAAATTATAACAATTATCTCTATGGAGCAGAGACGGAAAGACCACCGCGGACGTGAGGATGACCAGGAGAGCGGCACCAACTGGAGGATGATGTAGTACTGCTTCTGTTTCCAGATCAAACTCAACAAGGTTGTATACCAACTGAACTTTTACACGAAGAGGAGAGCCTAATGATGAGATATTCAGGGGATTGAACAGGACTATAAATCGATGAGTCTAAATAAACAGTGGCTGGGTTTGAACATGGACAGGTATGGTGCCACGTATGGGGATTCAGCACAAGATAGTCCAAACTACAACCACATCAAAGTGCTCTTTCTTTCTTCTGGTCATTGCTAGCTCCTGATGAAACTGATGCTTTCCATTCCTTGATGGCACGGTTTTGAAATTTTCCATCCTCATGTGATGTTGACACCACATGTTGGAATAGAGATATTACGAGATCAGGCAAATCTAAAAATGCTATTTAGTAGGTGGTTCCTTGCAAGAATTTCAGTATTTTTCACTAGGCGCATTGTGAAGTTATCATTTCTCAGCTGTCCCAGCAAATGAGAAAAGTGGTATAGCTTTCCTCATCAATATCTAGAAATCAATAGACAATCGTTTCCTGTCTAGTAGATAATTAGAGGCACCGGCTGGGGACTCTTCACTCTGAAGGAGGGTCAGCAAAGTTTGAGCTGAAAAGGCGGGTTTGAGCGTGTGTATGTGTGTGTGGACTTTTACTGTAGGGCATGTAGACTGTTTGCCAGCTCTATATAAGTTTTGAATTGACCTCGGCTGATTGTTGTTTCAGAAATCTCTTCCTAGTTGGGAAAGGAAGATGGCGACTGTTGGTGTTGCTGGGACACTTTGGGGGATCCAGAAGGCTAGAAAATATGGCATGTTTCGAGCTGCGATCCCAGCTCACTTGCCTCTCATGTTTGCTACGTACTGGATTGGCAATCGCTGGAGCTTGGTACAAGCGAGGCGACGGAGGGAAAAAGGGAGGGACCGCAACAGGGCTTAATTTTGCTTGCAGAATGAACAATTTTGCTTCCAGAATTGCAGAATAGGCTTAATTGCAGAATTCTGGAAGCAAGGCAATTCAGGTTACTTTGAATCTCGGAATCTTCCTCCCTGACTTGCACCCAAGTGAACAAGCTATCTATAGTAAGTGAAAGTTTGTTTCTGAATCTATCAGGCCTTAATAATTGTTCAAGTCTGATTTTTATGTTCTCGTGAAAATTCTAATGTCAGCTGCAATTTTTGACAAGCAAATTTCATCAGTATTGCTGTACTGGTACTGTTCTTTCTCTATAGAAATGTGGACAATGTTATTTACTAATTCAACTTTGCAAAACAGAAACAAAAAAGAGACCATAATGGTCAACGCGACAGTGGATTCAAAATGACACCGTCAATTTGACGTGTCTACATAATATGGGGTTGGACTTGTACGTAGTGCCATGTACAGCAGGGAATGAGTCAGTTCAACTGCATATTCAGAGAGAGATAGAGAGCAGCTAGCACAATATGGTGAAGACTGCTACGGCCACATCAAGCACCGTTTCCTACGCATTTTGCGCAACTTGAGGAAAGAAAACTGTTACAATCGTGTTTGTACTATTTCACTCGATGAGCGGGTTTATAGATCTTGATTGCATGATGTGGGTGCGGTCAGAACAATTTCAATGTGGTTACATCGCTTGTAATCCTTGGTCGGATCGGTACTCATTCTCTGTTGGATACAACATATATTATCAGGGCATCGTATTTTTCTATCTAAATCATAAAGAAATAGAATTGAAAAAAAAATCTCAAATATATTTTACAACAACAACAACAAACTTGTATTTGAGGGGATGAAATGTACGATGAAAGTGCCTTTCTCAGCTTGAGCTCATATGAGTTCGAGTGAACAGTAAAATCTGAAAATGTCTCACTTTTTCCTTTATTTTAATTCTGTATTTCTGAATGGTTTTTTTCCTTTATTTTAATTCTGTATTTCTGAATGGTGTACTGGCTGATACTTCCAGTCCCAGGGACAACTGATCTAAAAACTGAATGATGCGGTACTGCAATTTCTGCATAGAGCCTACCATAAGTACAGTCTTGTTTTTTGAGAATTTTGTGGCTTTGTGTTGATCATTATTGTTTATTAGAACACAGGAGAAAGAGCTGGGTGTCCTTTTAAACTTTTTTACATGTGTGTATAAGTAGCATCTGGGTGCCATTGTACAGATAGTCCACCTCCGCCCTCGTTCGTGGTTTGAAGGTGCAAACAAATTAACCATCTCATCATTTTTCGGTTTTAAGAATAAGAGATGTATTATCCGTCTATTCTTGTGTAAGAAAGGAATGCTAAAGACTACGACGTGGAAAGTGTTGTTGTTATACTGTATGTACTTGTTCCATGCTATGTTATATTATTATTCTTTGGAGATGATTCAGTTCTTTTGCTTCTCGTAAAACGCATAAAAGAACTAATTGTCCCCTTGTGAGTTAACTATTTGTGTTCAGCAGTTTGTGTTCTTGTTGATCCTGGTTGATGTGATTTCATACAAATTTTGTGTCTGCTCTTCGTATAAAGTGCTCTTGTTACTATTTGTACTTGTGCCCATACCATGGTATATTAATTCTTGGAGCCGATTCATTTCCGCTCTTGAAACACATGAACTAAAAGAGCTCATTGCCCCCTTCTGAGTTGATACTGTTTCTAGTCAGTAATTTTGCCGCTTCATAAATATCTGTAAATATTTTGTTATCTTTTGAATTTCAGTGCATGTAAAAGTTGTTTTGACTTTCTGGATTGTTGGTTGCAAGCACCGGAGATACGTAAAGCTGTAGGTGTGTACCAACTTTAAAGGTTGAGACCCCAGGCAAGGGCAGCGCTGGGAGATGCATGGCTGATGATAGGGGC